CGGGAGCGCCGCCGTGCTCCCAAGCGGCACACTGTAGCAGTGCGCCACTGGGCCGGCCCTACTGTTGGAGATGTTAACGGTACTGTCTGCAAATGGTGATAAAAGGCAAATTCTTATAAACGAGATGAGAACCATAATGGAAAAATCAATTAGAATACAGAAGAACAAAATTCATGCAGTCCAGAACAGACCTCATACAGTTAAAAGACAAAAACCTAACTCAGAAGAAGAGCTGTGAAACACAGCACCCACCAAGGGAGACGATGGATAAGGACGTCACAGTCGATTAGAGAGAGACAGGGCGTCCCCACAAGCAAACGGACGGCGCAGGGAAGGGACGTTTACAAGAGCACGAAACGCAAACAGCAATGAACCTGTATGAGGCAGAAGCACAAACACAGTCAACGAGACAGCACGCTTTGCCTGTCAGGTTAGATAAAAGGTCAACACAGGCAGACCTCCACGTGGGGAGACGCCCCTCCCCAGTCTCCTGGGTGGTCTAGATCCATGTGGCCTTCATGGGCGGGTACGGTGGGCCCAGAGACACCACACAGAGGAATGTCCACAGGACGTCGCCGCTGGGAGCTCCCGGGAGCCCCACGTGGGAGGCATCAGAGCTTCCGTGAGCGCGGAAGCAGCAGAGAGTGACGAAGGATGCAGGGGAAGGTGCTGGGAGATGCGCCCGTCCCCAGGGTGTGCGTCCCCACTTTGGTGACACACACTGTCTGGGTCATTCGGGGAGTCAGAACTCCACTCGAACCAGCACCAACCAGCGAGACAAGTGGCTGGTGACCTCTGCCCCTTCTGGGGGCTGGGACCCCAGTGCGTGGGTGTGTGGAGCTGGATCTGCGGGCTCCCCCTTGCATAGCTGTGCTCAGTTAGCCGCTCAACAACCATCTAGGCCCTCCTGTGCCAAGGTCACTTGAGTGGCAGCCAAGCCCCGGCTGTAGGGCAGCCATGGCACAGAGCCCCCCAACTGCCCCAGCCGGTCAGCTCTTCTGCTCTCCAGGCCAGCAGCCCCCGATCGCCCTCTCCCGCCTACTCCTCACTGCCGTAGAGGAGCCGAGAGGTCCGGCCCGAGCACAGGACGCTGAGGGGCAGGAGGGGATCCGACGGGACGTTTCCATCGTCGTCGGTTTAGCTGTAACGACCCGTTGCTGTGAGGGCTGCCGGCTGCTCTTTCTCTACCGACTCGGCTAAGACCTGCCTCTTCCCCCGGCGACTCCCGGCCGGGCTCTGCTCATCAGAGCTGAGGCTCGGGTCTCCGGTGAGCGTGCTGTTTAAGCCGAAACTCAACCCCTGAAGTTCCTCTCTACACACAACGGCTTCCCCAAAACTTTCCCCAAAAGCTACAGGGAAGGGCACCAGGACTGTTCTTCAATATATAATTAAAACCACGACCTTGACCAACATCTTGCTGACCGTTACCACAGATCCACAGCTATTATGCTAACACAAATCCCCCTAAAAGTGACTCTTGATACTGACAACACCCACAGTGCCACCACCCAAGGGGACAACCTAATGTCGTGCCACTGTTTACAAGCTGTCACTGCCTGAAGACTGAGGAGTCAAGTTTGAAGGGTGATTCCTCAGAGTGAACACTAACGTGCAGTGTCACCTGCCAGAGACAGTGCGGGTTTAGGAAGTGGCTGCGGCCACTAAGGTGGAACAGCACACATGGGGACAGGGGTCAGGGGCCGCTGCCCTCGGAAGGGCTCTGAGCTCCTGCCTGCGTTCTCTTGTGGTGAACGAGGGAACGCGGGCCCCAGCCCCTCCTGTCCTCATCCATAAAACGGGGATAAGTAGGGTGCTCGTTTTGCAGAGATGTCACGGGAAGGAAGTCACCGGACGAGCAGTGTGGAGGGTCTGCCCGGGCCTGGCCGCAGCTGCTACTGAAGAGTCAGGCCCAGAGTGGGGAGAGGACGAAGGTGCCTCCTCCCTGCTACGTGCTGTGCGGAGCCATGAACTGACCACGACAGCCCTCACCTTGACTTCACACTGCGACGCTTCACAGGAAGATGCTAAATCCACCAGCCAAAGTGGCACCTGAGGACAGTGCCCAGCTCCGCTGCAGACAGCGAGGCCCCACCCTGGGTTCCACCCCTGCCTTCCCTCTCAGTCCCCTCCTGTCCTCCCGACTCCTGCGTGTGCTCCTTCTGCCCCCATGCACCCCAACCCCCAGTTCCTTCAGTCAGCTAGAAAACCCGCCCAGAAACCCGCCCTGGCAGCCCCGCCACCTGCCCCCACGCCGGGCACCTCCCCACCCAGCCCCTTGGCCCCACTGCCCGCCGCCAGCAAACGGTCAGCTCGTTGGGAGCAGAGACTGCGTGGCATCAGCACTGCGTTCTGAGCACCCTGCACAGGGCAGGCGTTCAGGAGACGACGACAGGTTTCCTTATAAACACGCGCTGGTATTCACTTCATTGGTCACAAAACTCTTAAAAACGATGCAATAGTTGTGTGGTGATAAAATTAATTTAAATAGAAGAATGAACCCGAAGGAAAAACCCAATATTCCTCCCCAAAGCAGCCCTAATTATAGGAAATGTGTATAATTAAACCAAGTACGGTCAGATTACGGGATGCCCACAGCGGCTGCTACGCACAGCGGCTCCACCCCAGGCTTCCGTACCCGCTGGGATGATGCCGATCCTGAGGGTGCTGGGGGCCAGCACGGCCCTGGGGTGGTTCTGGTCGATGCCGGCGCTCCTCTGCGTCCTGCCAATGAGACCGTGCAGGACCTCGCTGAACGTGCCGTCTCCACCGACGCAGACGATGCTGCAGGAGAAACACGGGCTCGTGAGGACCTCCACATGCCCACGGCAGGCCTGAGGCTCTTGCTTCTGAAGGGGCAGCCTGCGAGCCCCACCCTCGGCAGGAGTCTGGGAACTCGGCTACTGGAATGTTCCCTAGGCAATGCACTGGTGCCTTCTGCCAGTTGGCCTAGACGGCTTGCACAAACATGATCTATGGCAAACACCAATGCTCCTTCTGGGGCTCTGGGACTTTCGTGGTCACCAGGTGGAGGGTGCTGGCCCCATCAAAAACCCTGAATTCTGAGTGTCAAGGCTCGAGCTTGCAGGGCACAAACTCCAGCCCTGCATTGCTTGCACTTTTGCTGCTGGAGGGAGGGTGTGCTCAGGTGACCCCTCTCGGTGGGGAGGAGCACAGGGAGCCTGCACGTGGCTGTCTTTCCCTCTTACCGTCTCGCTGTGCACCCGTGCTGTGTCATGGTAATAAATCTCAGCCGAGAACACGGCTGTATGTTCACACAGTGCATCACCAACTGCGTGGTGGCCTTGAGGACCCGGAAAGCAGAAGCAGAGAGGACCAAATTCATGCTGGATGAAATGGGTTCAGAGAAAACAGAAGGAGAGGAAGTGGAGAAAGGCAGCCATGGCTGGAGGGAGGCAGGACTGGTGTTAGGGTGCTGGTGTTAGGCACGACCCCAGGGAGTCACGGAGAGGTGGGTGCATGCAAGTTCACTGACACCCCCACGGCCCATGGCAACCCGAGACCCCCATCACCAGGGAAGCAGGACACCTGGCTACAGCTGGGAGCAGGGGTGGTGCTGTGGGTCGGGAAGAGAGGATCGCAGTGGAGGGTTGTCCATGGGTGAGCAGCGAGTGGACTGGGGGTGCAGCACAAGGGGGCCCTTCAAACCTGAGCGAGTGCGGCCAGTGTGCCTGGCTGTTCCCTGAATGTCCTGCCACACAGGGCTGGGTCTCTGGCCAGAGGCCACCTCGTAAGGTACATGCTTTAAAGCACATCCCTGCAGGAAGGCTCCTTGACCACCTCTCCTACATAACCTGCACCCTGCACTGGGGTGGCCCATCACCAGCCGGGCTGTGGTTTCAAGCACAGGGACCACGGCTCAGGCGTCTCTGAATGTGCAACACAGCAACACCTGCCACGCCTGAGATGGGCACTCAGGAAAGGTCCACGGCTTGCTTGATCAGTGACCGGGCAGCGAAAAGGACTGCCCTCACTGGCCAGGGCTCCTTCAATGTGCCCTGGGGAGAGGCGTGTGTTCGGGAGGTGCATCTCGTGGTATGACTGGCTGATTGCCTGAGTAGGTTAGGTAAAGTAATGTAACCAAGACCCAGCCCCACTCCTGGTGAAAAGTGAAGACTCCAGTACTCTCCTGACAAGGCTGCTACCAGGGGAGTCTGAGAACTGAAGTATATGGAAGAAAAGTGGCCGCTCAGGAGCTCCCCTGCACTCAGCGCGCTGCCGGCAGGGACTGGTTACATCTCCCTCTCCTTTCTTTTTTTTATTTTCGGCAGATGGCCTGCATGGGGATCCGAACCCTTGACCTTGCTGTTATCAGCACCACTCCCTCCTGAGTGATCTCCCTCTCTAACGGTAGCACCAGCACAGTGCCGGGCTTTGCAGACCCTTGGCAGTGCTTGTGAATGAATAATGATTTCAGAAAATATTCACATTGCAACTTATACTGGTCACAAGATTCCAGATGGAACACGGAGATGGAAAGAAAAAGTCAACCCATTACAAAGCAACTAACTACGGGAGTATATTTAAACTTGAGATAAAGAATGAATTTCTAAGCATGAGAAAAGCTTAGAAAGAGATGGATAAATTTGAGCATATGAATTTGAAAACTTCTAATGGTTAAAAAAAATGCCATAAGCAAAATTAAAAGACAATTTAAAAACTAGGAAAATATTTGCAAAAAAAAGACAATATTTGTTGGAGAGAAGAACAAGCAAGTAAAATTATGGGCAACAGAAGAAAACAGGTCAGAGACATAGAAATCAATTCAAAGAAGAAAACCAGTCAGCCAGTAAACATATTTCTTAAAAGATGGAAGATTTTCACATCAAATTAGCAAGGAATTTTTACAGTGATAATACCAAATGTGCTGATGAGAATAGTAGAAAATATACCATAAGAAAGAAGGTGAATTCATATGGTATTTTTGGAAAGCAATACAACAGCACACAGCAGAGATTCTAAAATTTTAATCTCCCGTGACCGATTAAGTTCATTTCTAGGAATTTACCTTGAAAAAAATATAGATGTATGCAAAGAGATTCATACACAAGAACGCTATTTTATTATAAGAGCAAAAATTGGAAACAGTCTAAACATCTAGTAGTGAGAGACAGGTGAAACTGTAGCCCATCTACATAACAGAAAATTATACAGGCATTAAAAGTAGTATTTTGGAAAATCTTTAATGACATGGGAAATTGCTCACAATATAACAGAAAAGCAGAATCCCAAATTATAAAAATGTCATCATCTCAACTTTAGTTGATGATGGACTTGACTGGTTTATTTCTATACCTGCATAGAGCTATATAAACACATCCTGTGAAAGGCAGAAACAGAAACCAGAGACCCACCAAACAGTCCTCGCCGTGTAGCAGAGGAATGTGAGAGTCTGAACTTTCCTGTCTTTTCTTGACTTTCTACAAGAAGCATGTTTACTTTTATAATTCAGAAAAAAAATTAAGGAAAGGGAGATAACACAACTAAGAGATATGGGTAAAACCTGATTACACGTCACTGTTTATTAATCAAGATGAAAGAAAACTTACTCACCCATCGTATTTATCTATATTAATCTCATATATAGTGTCCTTGGCTTGATTGGCATGTTCAGTAACTGTGGGAAAAATAACATTACGTCACATAGTTTATACTCACATTCATAAATCCTAATTTAAAATAAAAAGCAAACAGACCATTCTTTTAAAATGAGATTCTATAAAACCTTCAGGAGGATTTCCTATAAGAAATCCCTTCTTGGATCTTACCAAAATCCCCATTCTGGAACGGGGTTAAGCGGACAGTAGGGCATGACACTCTGCTGGGTGACATGTGACACTCTTGGCTTTTCACTGCCAACAGATAGGAATTCCCTTGAAAGAGACTGCATCTTTGTTTTACAATTTTTCCTTATTACACAGATTACTTTCGAAATTTTAGAGTACACCAAAATGTAGAAGGGAGATAATGTTAGTCTATAGTGTGTATGCCCAATGTAAAACTCCAAAATTTCAGTGGAGAGTCTACTGTACACAGAATTTTGAATCTTCGCTTTCCCATATTATCCCAATCACTTTTTTCATTAAAAATTCCTTGTAAAGACCATTTTAAAGAGCTGCACAGCATCCCTTTGATTCACCACCACTGTATTCTTATGTCTCCTGTCTTGGGAGCATTTAAGTTGTTTCTGAGCCATTTCCGAACTATTGCAAAAAAAAATGGCAATGGATGCTGTGGACATCAATCTCTGCGCACATCTGACTGTGCTCCTGGGGGAGATTTAGGAAACAGAATACTGGGCAAAACCTCTCATTTGTCACACTCTGGACCCCCATCACCAAGTAGGATTTTACTACGGTTACAGAGAACCCTCCACGCCCTGGGACGTGAGAGGACACGTGTCCCGCACCGCCCGCACCCAGCCCTTGCCTTGAGAATGCGGGGCTGCAAACACCATGTGGCATTACGTGCCTTAAAATGTCACTTACTGGTGGGATTATTTCTAAGACTTACTAATGTCTTATCTCTTCTTGCAAGAATTTTCTGCCCATTATCTTTGTCCTTTTAGCGCTTTTCTCGGCTGCTTTATGGGCTAAAACTAGGCTAGAAAAGACTGCATGCTATTCTGGTATGTAAAAAAAAACAAAACCCGTTTTGCTTACGATAATCTTACAGGACAGAAGTCTTCTCTAGCGGGTATATGCGAATCCTCCTCAGATTTAGTCGCACATGCAGCACAGAGCTTTCGTCTTACCGATGATGTCGGCGGTGACGGAGGCCAGTGTGAACAACGGTGCCACTTTCTTCTCATATATCTGCTTGCCTCGTCTTTTCCCTCCAAATGGGTTGATAAACACCAGTAAATGCTTTGGTCGAGATGCTACAAAACAACAACAACGTGTAAATCACAATGGATATAACAGGGTCCAAATTAAGATCTGAGTTACTGGACAAAGTCCAACCACGATGGTTTTAGAATTCTGCTTAGTATTATCTGGTAACGAGTATTTTTAAATCTTAAAGAATGGTGACACAAGTGTCCCAGTCCATGAGACGAGAAAAGCAATGGACTGTCAGAACAGGCAGGTGCTTTGCATGTGTGCCAGGTGGAACGAAAGCCCCGGGATTCAGAACTCCGCCCGAGAGAGGCTGGCCGCCTCCTGCAGTCCCAGGACATGCGCGTGCTGCAAGGCAACAGCCTCGCCTTCCGCATGTGCAGGAGGCAAGTCTGCAGAGAACAGGAATGGAGCACAGGTATGGAAAGCAGCATCGGCAGAGAAAGACAGACCAAAAGGCACGGAAAGAGAAAGCCTGGCATGGAGACAGACAGAGAGATGGACAGACAGACAGAGGCACTCAGCTTCCCCGGCCCTGGTTTCAGTCCCTCCAGAGGCTCAGCCAAGCTCCTACACGTGACTTTCCAGAGTGCCCCTATTTTCCCATAACTATGTCCACATTCTGTTTTGATCAGTTCAAGTAGATTCTATTTTTTACTTAAAGAATTAACTAACAAAATCTATAAAAGTAACAAGAAGGTATATGCTCAAGAAAATTGAAAACCTAAATCCATGTAAAAACCTGGACACAAATGTTCACAGCAGCATCATTCACAGCAGCCAAAAAGTGGGACCAGCCCAATGTCCATCAGCTGATAAGTGAATGAAGAAAACGTGGTCTGTCCACACAGTGGGACGTTCTCCAGCCGTGCAGAGGAGCGACCACCAATGTGAGCAACGTCCCCAACACCCGAGAGATGGAGCCTTACTCCAAAGAGCCTGGACCACACGATTCCATGACGTGAACTTCTAGAGCAGGCAACGGCACCACGACGCAAAGGTAAAGCTGGCCTGGTGGTGTCTGCACGGGCTGGAGAGAGTGTGGGGAGACTGCTGGGGCTGTGGGAGTCTCGACTGGTTTGGGTAACATGAGAACGCATGGTTCAAAACTCATTGGTTAAAACTTACAATGTGTCCATTTCACAGGATTTTACCATCTTCTGAGGTAAAACAAATTTTGCCTCAGAATTATAAATAAATACTGCTCTCTAGCTAACGACATGAACGCTGAGGTGTTTAAGGGGGAAGTGTGCTGGTGTCTGTCACTTACTTTGAAATGTGGCAAAACATATGATTAATTAATGGATGGCTGGACAGACAAACACTGACAAAGCAAATACTGCACAATGTTGACAACTGTACAATCCAGGTGGTGAGTATATGAATGTTCAGGGTACAGCTCTTCCAGTTTTCTGTATGTTTGGAAATGTTCATAATAAAATATCTGGGGAAATAATACAATAGAGAAAACAGACAAAGCCAAAAGTTGGTTCTCTGGAAAGATGCGTAAAACCGATAATTCCTTAAAAAAAACAGACAAAGAGAAAGGGAGAAAACACAATTTGCCAGTATTGGGTATGAGAAAGGGGACATCAGAATCCACAAATATTACAAAGGGAACGAAAGGATTTATTATTTTTTTCCCCCTTTTTTGTCTTTTTTACTGACCGGTAACGGGATCGCAATCCTCGGTGTTGCACCCGCACCAAGCTCAGCCAGTGAGCGGGAACCGGTCTCCACATGGGATCCGAACCCTCGGCGGGAGCGCCGCCACACTCCCAAGCGACGCACTCTCCAGTGCGCCACCGGGCCGGCCCGAAAGGATTTATTAATAAAATTATGCCAATAAACTTGTAAATTAGGATGAAATGGACAAATTTCTAAAAAAATACAATTTATCAAAGATGTCAGAAGAGAAAATCTGAATATTCTGATATCTAATGAAGAAACTGAAGCCATTAAAAAAACCTGCCCACAAAGAAAACCCTGGGTCCGAATGATTTCACCATTGAATTCTTCTAAATACTTAAGAAAGAAATAGCCTCATTATTATATGAATTCTTCCAGAGAACAGAAAAAGGAGAAACACCTCTGCATTCTTTGTATCAGGCCACCTTGACAGCAAAACCAGGCAAAGACATTACCAGAAAGGGAACTCACAGACCTGTCTCTCCCCTGACCCTAGCAAAAACCCTAAACAAAATATCAGCAAGTCAAATCCAGTGATACATAAAAAGGGTAATAAATATGCCACCACCACGGGGGTTTGTTTACTCCAAGAAAGCAAAGAATTTAAACAATGAGAAATTAATGTAATTCAATACATTAACTCAAAAGAAAAAAAAACAAACACACGATCATCTCAACAGATGCAGAAAAGGTATTTATCAAATTCAACACCTGTCCATGATTTTAAATAACCAAACTCAGAAAACTAGGATTAGAAGGAAATTCCCTTAATTTAATAGTAAAAAAAAAACCTATTAACAATCTAAGAAACATCCTTCTTGATGGTGAAATGTTGAAAACTTCCTCCTGAGGTCAGGACAAGGATGAAGGATGCTGCTGTCACCCCTGAGCTGGTGGCCCAACCAGGGCAAAGACTTCAGGAAAAGAAACAAAAGGAGTAGAATTGAAATGGAAGACACAGAACTGTCGGTACTCACAGGTGACATGACTGTGTTTGAAGAAACTGCAAAAGAATCGAACTATTTGAATGAGTAAGTGATTTAGCAAGGTTACTGGATACAAGGTGAAACGAAATTCTATCACATTTCTATGCATAAACAATAGAGAAGCAAAATCAAAAACGGCACCACCCGTGGCGTCGTGGGAGAGCCACAGCCTTTCCTGTACATGGCAGGGGTCATGGGATATCTCCATTTAAAGAACACGAACCTTGACCTCTCACCTCACACCACATGCAAAGACCAATCCCAAATGGGTGGCAGATCTAAGTGTGAGAGTGAAAACAAAGCTTTGAGAAGAAAACATCTTCATGGTCTGCGAGTAGGCAAAGCTGTCTTAAATAGGAAACAACCTAACCATAAAGTTAAAAAAAAAAAAAAGATAAATAGAACTATGTTAAAATTTTAAATGTAAAAGACACACCAATAAGAGAGTGAAAAGGCAAGCTGCAAAATGGAAGAAAATATCCATAATTCATAAACTCAGTAAAAGATTCAGAACCACAATATGTAAAGAATTTCTATGTACCAATAAGAAAAAGATAACCAAACAGAAAAGTGGACAAAAGACTTGAGCAGAGGACTGGCCGGCTAGCTCAGTGGGTTACCGTGTGGTGCTGGTAACACCCAGGCCTAGGGCTCCATCCCTGTACCGGCCAGCCACCAAAAAAAAAAAAGACCTGAACAGAAACCTCATAAAGGAGGATTTCCACATGGCCCATAAACATACTAATGTATTTCTCCACTTCATTAACCATTAGGGAAATGCAAATTAAAACCGTAAGACTCCTAGCACCTGTCACAATGGCTAAACGTGAAAGGTGTGGTTAACATATGCAGCAACTAGAACTCTGAGACCCCGATGGCAGGAGTGTCCACTGGCACCACCACTCTGGAAAACAGTCGGCGGTGCGTGCTGAAGTTGAACGTCTGTATACTGTACAACCCAGCAGTTCCATTCCTAGGTATGCAGCCAAGAGAAATGCAAACGTGTTCAAAAAGACACATCAAAAAGACACACTATTACTCATAACAGCCCACGCCAGCAAGCTACGCAAATGGCCAACAGCAGAATGTGTGAATAAATGGTCATACGTTCACATCATGGGACACCACACAGCCAAGGGGACAGACAACCTACAGCCACACGCCACAGCGTGGGTAAACCGCACACACATAATGCTGAGCCGGCAAGCCAGATGCAAAAGAGCTTATACCATGCAATTTGATTTACATGAAGTACAAAAACAGATTTAGCTAGTTAGAAGTTCTTGGGGAGTAATGACCACAGGGGTGCCCTGGGAGCTGGCAATATCCTGTGTCCCGATCTGGGTGTGTTCAGTGTGAAAATTCACCACACTGTACACTCAGAATATGAGCACTTCTNAACGTGAAAGGTGTGGTTAACATATGCAGCAACTAGAACTCTGAGACCCCGATGGCAGGAGCGTCGACTGGCACCACCACTCTGGAAAACAGTCGGCGGTGCGTGCTGAAGCTGAACGTCTGTATACTGTACAACCCAGCAGTTCCATTCCTAGGTATGCAGCCAAGAGAAATGCAAACGTGTTCAAAAAGACACGTCAAAAAGACACACTATTACTCATAACAGCCCACGCCAGCAAGCTACGCAAATGGCCAACAGCAGAATGTGTGAATAAATGGTCATACGTTCACATCATGGAACACCACACAGCCAAGGGGACAGACAACCTACAGCCACACGCCACAGCGTGGGTAAACCGCACACACATAATGCTGAGCCGGCAAGCCAGATGCAAAAGAGTTTATACCATGCAATTTGATTTACATGAAGTACAAAAACGGATTTAGCTATTTAGAAGTTCTTGGGGAGTAATGACCACAGGGGTGCCCTGGGAGCTGGCAATATCCTGTGTCCTGATCTGGGTGTGTTCAGTGTGAAAATTCACCACACTGTACACTCAGAATATGAGCACTTCTCTGTGAATATGTTATTTCTATATAGTTCAATCAAACAATGAAACATAACAGAATTAGAAGTTAAAATTAGAGAGTATCTGAAATAACAGGATCCTATGCTGTTTTTAGACACAAGTATACTATATCAAACGTACAACTACATGAGTTTTTCTATGAATTATACAGAAAAAAATAAATCCGCATTATTCAGTGGAAGGCAGGGTTCAGAGGATTTTCTTTTGAAGTCTTTACTGACAGAACCAAACCTAAGATCTAGTCACTCAAAGTCTCATGAAAACAAACAGATCTGGCAGGAGGGAGGTAAGGAGAGAGCAGGTCTGCACAGGAGGAAGAGTCTACAGGGAAGCGGAGGAGAAGGCTGGAGAAACTGAGGCACCTTTCCGACAGACCAGCACAGAGAGGAAGCACAGGCGCAGAGCCCACGGCGGTCTGAGACACGAGCAGCGACAGGATGAACGTGTTACGGCAGCAGCCGGCAGGGACCGGCCCGCGGATGGCCTCTCGCCGCCGTGATACCAAAAGATGCGCTTTCTCAACCAAGAAAGTTTCTCTGAAGCTGACACACGGGATGCCTTCTGATACATCAAAATTCACTTTATTGCTGTAGATGCCAAGTTAACTCAAAAAGATATAAATTTA